CCCCAAAACCCCAAAACCCCAAAACCCCAAAACCCCAAGATTCTACTTATTATATAAGAAATACTAGCCATAAATGTCAAAGGCCACAAGGAATTTACTAAAATCAGATTTTGCTTACTACCCAACTCAGAAGATCAACTGGTTCCCGGGTCACATGAGAAAGGCGAAACGCCAGATCCTGTCCCAGATGAGGAAGGTAGATCTCTTTGTTGAGGTAAGGGACCTCAGGGTCCCATTTACCTCACATAACATCCTGCTGGATGAGCTCATCCCTAAGGATAAATAAAAGAGTTGTGGTCTATAACAAGGCGGATCTTGCCAACCCTAAAATGACTCAGAAATATCTTAAATACACACGTGAAGTGGAGAAATATGACTGCTTTGAGATGAGTGCAAAAAAGCATATCCATGTTGACAAGTTTATTTCCCATATCAAGCATAAAGTCAACCCCAGGTTTAGCACTATAGGCAACTGGATGATGATCGGAGGTAACCCAAATGTTGGGAAATCAACCATCATCAACACTTTACGTGTGAAGGAGGACAACATCGAGCACAATCGTAAAAGCGGAGCAAGGGTTGGAGCAGTCCCTTGAATCACAAGATCTGTAACTGGCTTCAAAGTGATGACAAACCCTTTGACTTATCTCATAGACACTCCTGGAATCACTCAGCCCAAGATCCTTAATAATGAGGATGGCCTTCGACTCTGTGCAGTGGGAAGCATCAGAGATGGAATAATATAATTGAACATGAGACTACTATTAGATACATTCTATACCAACTGAACAACAAAGGAGTCACCAAATACGTTTCCTTCTACAACCTCAAAGAGCCCACTGATGATTTTGAAACCTTCGCCCGTGGCGCAAGGAGCCTTCATGGCAGGATGAGCCACCACAACCTGGAAATCTCCATCCTAAAAGACTTCAGAGAAGGCAAACTTGGCAGGATCACGATCGACGAAGACCCAGAAACAGAAGCTGAACGAAGAAGACAGATCCTCGAAGAAATCAGGCTGCAAGAACTAGAAAAACAGGACTAATGTTTATGTAATTCAATATTTCCTTTAATTGAAGGGGTTTTGGGGTTTTGGGGTTTTGGGGTTTTGGGG